GGAAGGCCCTCTATGAGGTGGATTGATTCAGTGACTGGGATAATTGGGATGGGAGTGTCAGAGACAGTGCAATTGGCACAGGACAAAGCGGAGTTTAGGGCTGTTGTACGTAGGGTCACTATGAGTCGCAGGCAACTCGATGGCACATAACAACAACAACAACACACAAATTTAAGACACACACTATGCAGGCATGTCCTCTTTTACACAACGATAGTATTATGCATTATAAATACATTGTCTTAAAGGTATTGTCTTAAATGTAAAGAGGTTAGGATTCTAACACTTTATGGGGTGAAGAAGGGAGAAAGGAGGATATGGCACAATTCACTCATGAATTTGAAGTTAATCTCTCCATCACAGTATAGAGGAAAGGGTCATTAACATTAGAGGCAATAAGTTGAATAGGAGGTACAAGAACTACAAAGATTCTGTGGAGATTCACTGAAATCACAAGAGTCTCTAGAAACCTAAAATCGACTTTACTAAATTGAAGAAAGGAAATTGGAGAGTCTGACACTGAGCTATCCAAGATGTTGATACAGAGGGTACTGACCTAACGGGCTTAGGAGTAGCTCCTGGAGGATCATAAAAAGTTCATAGTCATTGAGCCAAAACCATCTCATAGTTGACCCTCCAGTGGGTTTTCAGAGGTTAGAAATTGCAAAGAAGGATATTACATTCCCTTCTCCATTGGAGCCTCTGGTGGATTCAAACTCCCAGAGAGGTACCATATTTTAATTAGTAGCACACTTACTCCCTACTTGGTCACCAGAGCTTCTTCCCTGTAGGGTAGGCTGCACAATCAATCAAGTGTAATTATCAATGGTAAGTCCAAAGTGACATAGGACTATAAAACTGTAACCAAAGATGAAAGTGCACAAATTATAGTGAATTCGTTAAGAAAATTCATGTGATTATTTCTTGACAACACTCACGAGAAATAAGAGAATAAGATAAAAGCAGAAAGATAAAATGTCCCTGTAGTAATTAATCCAAAAGTATGAGCAGTAACCATATCAATGTCTCATATTACTTCGTTCTTAATGAAGGGAACATATTATCAACCACTTATGGCCCACTAAATGTCATTCTCATAAAAACTTGAAGAAATACATGGTTTTGTACAATAATGAGAATAAACCTCAAAGAAGTTAGACATATTCACCACAGGTCACAAAGTTAGGAAACAGCACAGCAGGGAAGAGGGTGAACCTATATAAGACTCCAAAATTCACACAGTTCTTATCACTTCCGCCATGACATTCTACTTCTACACTTTTAAAATGATGATTTTAGTGAAAATTTTCAAAAAGTTGGTTTCATTCATTCATTAATATTTTCCCACTATCATTCAAAGATATGAACCAGCAACTAGAGCCAAAGAGGAAGAAATAGAACATTTCTACCAACTTTAACATGCAATCAAGATGTATTGATAATAATGGGCAACTAGAAAGCAAAAGTTGGAAACAGGGAAGGATCAGTATCTGGCAAACATGGACTTGGTTACAGAAATGAGGCTGGAGATAGAATGATAGAATTCTGCACATTCAATGATTTGTTCATTACAAATACCTTTTATATGAAACACAAACACAGGCTATACACATTTATTTCACCTGATGGTGTATGCATAGGAATCAAATAGATTACATCTGTGGAAAGAATCTCTGGAGAAGCTCAATATCAGTTGTGAAAGCCAGGTCATGTTCTGATTATGGAACAGACCACCAAGTACTTATATGTAAGTATAAGCTGACGTTGAAAAAAAGAAAATAAAATCCACAGGAACCAAAACCTTATATCAATCTCACTCGAATTTCAAAACCATCTTCAGGAACAGGTTTGAGGCCTTAAACACCAAAAAGCAAAGACCAGATGAGCTGTGGGAGGATATTAAGAATATTGTCCACGAAGAATGCAAAAAAATCATTACAAAAGCAGAAGAGGAAGACAACACCAAGACGGACATCGGATGAGACTCTGAATATTGCATTAGAGCACCAAGAAGCCAAAGCTAAAGGAAGAAATCAAGAATTATGGAGCAGAACAGGAAATTTCAAAGGGCATCTCAGGATGACAAAGCAAGGTCTTATAATGAAATGTGCAAAGAGCTGGTGTCAGAAAATCAAAAGGGCCAAACTCACTCAGCATTTCTTAAGCTGAAGAAATTGAAAAACAAATTCAAGCCATGAGTGGAAAAGCTTGAGGATGTTTTGGGCAAAATGTTAAATGATACAAGAAGTCTTAAAAGAAGATGGAAAGAGTATACAGAGTCACTGTACCAGAAGGAATTGGCTGGCACAGAAGAATTTCATGAAACAACGTATGAACAAGAGCCTGTGATGATGAAGGAATAAGTCCAAGCTGCTCTGAAAGGATAGGCAAAAAACAAGACTCCAGGGGTTGACAACATACCAAATGACATATTTCAACAAACAGATGCTGCCCTGGATGTGCTAAGTTGTGCCAAGAAATCTGGACAGCCACCTGGCCAACTGACTGGAAGAGATCGATATATGTTCCCATTCCAAAGAAAGGTGACCCAACAGAGTGCAGAAATTATCAAACAATATCATTAATATCACATGCAAACAAGATTCTGCTGAAGATCATCCAAAAACAACTGGAACAGCACATCAACAGAGAACTGCCTGAAGTGCAGGCTGACTGGGTTTAGAAGAGGCCATGGTACTAGGGATATTATAGATAATGTTAGATGGATCTTGGCTGAAGGCAGAGAGCACCAGAGGAATGTCTGTGTTTCATTGACTAGGCAAAAGCTTTTGACTGTGTGGATCACACAAACTGTGGCTGACTCTGAAAAGAATGGGAATCCCAGACATTCGATTGTGCTTATGTAAAACCTATACTTGAACCAAGAAGCAATCATCAGAACAGAGGAAAGAGACACTGCATGGTTCAAAATTGGGAAGGGGTTCTGCCAGGGATGTATTATGTCTCCACACCTTTTCAACCTGTATGCAGAACAGATCATCCGGAATGCTGAGCTGTGTGAGGAGGAATGTGGCATCAGGATTGGAGGAAGATTCAACAACAACCTGTGTTATGCAGAGGACACAACCCTGCTTGCTGAAACTGAGAAGGACCTGAAGTGCTTGCTGTAGAAGGTCAAGGACTACAGCCTCCTATATGGATTGAAGCTCACCATCAAGAAAACAAAGATTCTCACCACTGGGCCAATTGGCAGCATCATTATGGGTGGTGAAGAGATTGAGATTGTTAACAGTTTTAGTTTGCTTGGCTCCACAGTCAACACTCTTGGTACCAGCAGCCAGGAAATCAAGAGATTAATTGGATTTTGTGAAAGTCATCTGTCAGATACCTCTCTAGAGTACTGAAGAGCAATGACGTCAGGCTGGAGACTATGGTGTGCCTGATCCAGGCCATAGTCTTCTCAATTGCATGCTATGTGTCAGAGAGCTGGACAATGACTAGGGATGATAGAAAAAGAATTAATGTCTTTGAGTTGTGGTGCTGGAAGAGTGCTAAATATACCATGGACTGCTAGGTGAACAGTTTTATCCTAGAGAAAGTGAAACCAAGCTGCTCCTTGGAGGCAAGGATTCTGAAGCTTTGTCTAACATAATTTGGGCATGTTGCAATGAGGCACCAGTCCTTGGAAAGGGATAACATTCTTGGGAGTGTGGAGGGACAGAACAGGAGAGGAAAACCCTCGATGAGATGGATCGATTAAGTAATTGGGGTAATGGGAGGAGGAATGTCAGAGATAGTGAAGTTGGCACAGAATAGAACAGGATTTAGGGACTTGTACATAGGGTCGATATGAGTCACAAACAACTCAACAGCACTTAAGAACAACAACAACTCTTCAAATCACTTTGAGGTTTTTTATTTTTTTATTCTCAGTTCTATTTTCTTTAATGTATCAGATATTAATATTGGTTGTATAATTATAAAGTGCTGAATTCAATAACTACTGAAAACAGTAAGTTTTGGGGGTTTTATTTATCCATTAATACACATTTGCTTCCTTCCCTTTCCACTATCCCTCCCCCAATTCACTTTATAATACACTTCTTGCTCCAGATTGTTAAGTGTCATATATATAATGCTTACTGATACATTCTTTTCACACAAAGGAAGACACTAAAGATGCATTGACACTGTGACTGTGAACAATGGGCTTGAGCCCACCAGAGATCCTTTGAATGCCGTAAGTTTCAGCTGTTTTTCACAGGGTTGCTAGGAACTGTAGTTGACCCAAAAGAACATAACAACAAGGGGCTTTGGCAGTTAAGTGGAACTATGAAGAATGATTCTTCAGAGAATGTATAGGTAGAGTATTCTGACAAAAGTTTCAAGTTTTTTTACAAAACTTGAACAGTTTTATGACTTATGACCTTTGAAATAATGCTATGCAGAACATGAACATAGAAGAGACACAAAATTATTCATTGTAATGCTACTATAAATATAGATTATAACATATTATTTTGAATGCTAGAATGCAACCATTTCCAGCTGAGCTTTTTTTCTCATCCTATTGTCTTAAAAATTCCTTATGAGAATCATTATTTTGAAATATTAAATGTAATAGTGAAAAAATATTTCTTTTTTGCTTTAGTAAATATAAATTTACTATCACATAGTTTATGAAGGCAGAAGTCAACTGTGGAAAAATTTTAACAGAAAGCTTGAGAGTATAAAATTTTAAATGCCTCAACTGGAACATTTTCCAAAATTCTCAAACTTCAATAATGCTGGTTGTGTTCATAATTCATTTTTCTACTCACTTGCTAATAAGTTTTTTGCTTAGCAGGTGTTTTACTGCTGCCTTCACATCCTTGTTTCGGAGGCTGTATATTAAAGGATTCATCATGGGAGTCACCACAGCGTAGAACATGGATATAAGTTTGTCTGTTGCATCCAAGTCATTTGAATTAGGTGTCTCTTTAGATTTGGGTTTCATGTACATGAAGAGAATAGTTCCATAGAATATAATCACCACTGTCAAGTGAGCTGAACAAGTAGAGAAAGCTTTGCTTCTACCCTCAGAGGAGCGAATCTTGAGGATACTGGAAATAATTAATGAATAAGTAATGACTATCAGAAGCAGAGGCATCAATGCAAATAATGTTGTGGCCACTAGCATGATGAACTGATTGCCTGAGATGTCAGCACAGGCCAATTTCATGACAGCCAGGATTTCACAGGAGAAATGATTGATGACATTATTCCTGCAAAATGGTAATTGCACCACAAACGCAGTTTGGACGGCAGAGTTCATAAACCCTATAAACCAGGACACAGCTGCCATGGGCACATAGGAATTCTTGCTCATAATGATGGGATATCTCAGAGGGTTGCAGATGGCCACATAGCGGTCAAAGGCCATCATGCCCAAGAGCACACACTCTGTTGTCCCCATGGCCAAACCAATGAACATCTGCACTGCACAGGCCTTGAAGGAAATGGTCTTTCTTTCTGAGAGAAATCTCATCAGCATTTGAGGAATGGAGTTGGTGGTAAAGCAGATGTCCAGGAAGGAGAGGTTCCCAAGGAAGAAGTACATGGGGGTGTGAAGGTGAGATTCCAAGATGATGATCAGAATAAGAGTGCCGTTGCCCAGAAGGATGAACATGTACATTATTAAGATGATCATAAAAAAGAGGAGCTCTAATCTTGGGCTAGAAAGACCCTTCAGAAAGAATTCTCCTATAATGGTTTGGTTTCTCAACTCCATTTTACTGTTTTTCTGGTTCCTGTAAAGTCAGAGAAATTAAGCCAGAAAACAATTAACAAGTCTACATACATTAATTCACAAATATAACAATCTATCAAGAACCCAATATAGCAAAAGGAGGGAACTCTAAAACAAAGGAAGAAAGGATAGGAAGTGAAGAAACAATGCAAAAAGAGGAGAAAAAAAATGAAAGAAAAGCTATTATAAAAGCATTATGTTTTGCTTTTCCACATGTGTTATATCATTAAATACAAACATTATTATTATTTTTAAAATAAGAAACTGGAGAGAGGATGAGAGACACCCAGGTGTTGAGGACTCTTCTTCATACGGTCGCTATGAGTGGCCTGCAACTCGATGGCACTTAACAAGAACAACAAAATAAGAAAGCTAAGTGAACAGATTTTTTAAACTTAAAATGTTCCAATGTGTACATGGTAAGGCCTAGCCTTACACTCAGGCCCTATTATTATAAAAGCAATACTCAAATATTGCTATAGAGATGGAACAAATCATAGCTGATCCTCCAGCAGGTTTTCAGAGGCAGTAAATCTCATATGAAAAGATTATCATATCTCATTTTTAAAATTGTCTTGTCAATCTCATATGAAAAGAATTTTTCTCAGGGGAGCACCTGCTGGATTCAAACTGCTCAATTTTAGGTTGGCCGTGCAAATCTCTACCCACTAGGTCACCAGAACTGTCTAAAAGCATTTTAGAAAAAATGTCTTATAGCAGAGATTTGTAAGTGAAAGTCATTGTTGTCTTTAAGTCAAAACCAACTCATAGCTAACCTTCGAGCAGGTTTTCAGAGGCTTTCAATTACAAGGGAGGAAATAGCCCATTTTTCTCTCAGGCTGGTGGATTCGAACTTCTAGAGAGGTGTGGTTTGAAGGCAAGCCGTACAGCTCTCCATGGGCAATGCCCAAAGCTCCCTTAAAAGAAAAAAGCAGCTTTGCTCCTATCCCAGAGAAACTCACCAGTACTCAGTTAAAAGTGCAATAAAAAAAAAAGTAGTGCAATAATCTAGTATTTATCATGTTCTTGATTGCCCAAAAACTTTGTACAATCATGTAAAGTTCAATAATCTTGATATTTTGGGAATAATATAAATACCTTTATATCGCATGAATAAAATTATTCACAATTTTATTTTTTAAATTATAAAATGTTAGAATTCTACACAAAAAATTAAAGTTCTCAATAATTAGTGTAAAATTCTGTGATTTTAAAATGTGAGTAACTTTGTTGAACCACCATGGCAATCAGGATACTTACTTTTCATCACCTTTGTGCACTTTGAGCTTCATTCTATTGTACTACTCCATTTCAATTATCCTTTGCACCCACCAATAAGTCTGGAGAACCACTGGTAAGATTTTTTTTCCCTGTAGTTTTTTTTCTTCTCTAGAACATCATATAAAAGGAATCATATAATGTACGGGCATTGACTCTGGCTTCTACAGTTAACATTAAGCCTTTGAGATTCCTCCTTATATCATTTCTTTGTTCATTTTACTGCTGGGTAGTACTCTCTTGTGTAGCTCTTCCACAGTTTGCTCATCCATTTACCTGCTAAAGGACATCTTGGGTTGCTTCTAGTTTACAGGCACTTACGAAATAAGAGACTGAATATTTATGTATAGGTTTTTCTTTGAACATAATTTTTCATTTTTCTGGGATAAACATCCTGCTACAGGACAATTGATCACATAGGAAGAACATTTTATATTTGTGAAAACTGCCAAAGGATTTCCAATGAGTCTGAATCATTTTTGTATTCCACTGTTAATGAACAAGAGTTCCCGTTGTTTTGTGTTCTTGTTAGAAATTTATATTGGTGGATTTTTTTTTTCCTCTGGTGGCATGCATATCTAGTAGTGAGTTTCAATTGCTAACTGAAAGGGCATGAATCTGGGTTTTAGAGGGAGAACCATAGTGTCTGCTCCTTATAATTTACACTTCTGGAACCCCAATGGAGAGTCATAACTGACTTGATGGCAGTGAGTTTGAGTCTGATATTTATATCAAACATTTAATTTGTATTTCAATAAAGGATAGTGGTTCTGAATATATATGCATGGTTTTGGTGCCTTTTTATATACCTTTATTTTCTTTAATTAACTGTTTCAGGTCTATTTTTAATTTTGTTGTTTATCTTAGTATTGTTAAGTTTAGAGGTTCTTTACTTATCCTAGGTATGATTTTTTTTGTGGATACGAGATATGCATAGAGTTGTCCCAGTATGTAACTTGTCTTTTCATTATCTTAATGCAAATACTTTTTCAATTCCATTTCACTTTCTTGCTACCTAAATCCATTTGACTGGGAGCCCAAAGAAAAATTATGATCAAAGAGAGATAAGGCAGATCTCTGATACTTTTTCATTTGCGTGATGACTCAGGGAAAATCCACTACATCGTTTGAACCCACCAGCTGCTCCTGGGTAGAAATACAGGCATTCTTCTCTATTACAACTTACTGCCTCAGAAAACCTTCTTGAGGGTCAGCTATGAGTAGGTTCCCAATAACACACATCATCAGTCATGCAGGGTGGTCCAGTGGCCTTGTCCATAGGGTGCTGCACTACTAACCAAACTGCAGTGTTTGGTGTTTCAAGCCCACCAGCTACTCTATGGCAGAAAGACAGGCAGTCTCCCTTCTCTCTTAAGAATTTCAAAGTCAGAGATCCAAATGGGGGTTGATAGACTCTCTGTGAGTTGGAACTGACTCTATAGTTCTGAGGACATGAGTGAGTGATCTCCTATGAATGAAGACCTGAGATTTTATCCTTAAGACCTCACCTGGGAACATCTCAGACCTTCTCTTTTAATGTTCTCTTAGGAGCCTTCACTCCTATTTGCCTATTTAAAATATATCCATTTTCTAGCATTGCTCTTTTCTATGGGCACGGGAAACATCTACAGAATCAACTAGAAGTGTCTAAACCCATTTACAAAATAAAAACAAACTTCTGAAGATAAATAGACCAATGATCATGTGAATAATTTATGCTTGTTTAGGAAACTTGTTCAAGATCTATATTGCAATTTTTAGATTCACATTAATCAGTTCTGCCTACATTTCCTCCTATCTTGTCTTTGTTCTCATTCTACCATTTCATTTTGGGATTTTTTTTTTTATTACTCTAAGAGTGTATTTGCTCTGAGTTTCAAATTCACTTTATCAGTACTAGGAAATAAACAAAATTGTCTCTACCTCAATTAACTGGTTAATGATGACTACAGAGCAACAGCCAATCTCACTATGAGAACCATTGACCATTGTCAAGAAAATTACTTTAAATTCTAACTTTTCAATTATTGAGGATTTGATTTGGGAAATTTCTTAAATTCTCTGAGCTACAGTTTCTTTATCTATACAGTGGGTATTTTAATACCCTCATAGAATTTGGGGGGCCATAAATAAGGTAACACATTTAAAACATCTAATAACGCCATTTCAGTTTCTTTCCTCTTTATAGATTTTTTGAGCTTGTTCTTCTCTCAAGTTGTTTTTGGTTTTGTTTTCTTTGTTTCTGACCCATGTATCTCCCACCTTAAGAGTGTCTTTTAAATTGCATATATCAGATATTTTCACATATCCTGTCTCTTCTTACCTATCTATTACTTTATAGACTTTTTCTATTTCTGTTTTAAGAGATCTTTTCTTTACTTTATAGACTTTACAGACTTTATAGACTTACTTTTCCTAATTCAAAGACAGAAAACAAATGCAATCGAAATAAAATTCTACTCATTTGGTAGTGAATAGTCTTATATCATTGTATATCAAATGGAACATGGAGTTAAAATAAAAAGCTCAAGAATATTTTCAAAATGCCAATGTAAGCATAATTATGCACCATAATTAACTAATTACATGTTATCGAGGCTTTTTATTATAAACTTAAAGATACATTTAAAAAATTATTATGTTTTTCTTTTTCTTTTTTAAGAGTTTTTCTAATAGCATTTTCAGCAGAAGGATTCCAGAAAGGGACATTGTTCATTTGTGGTTTGTACTAGTAGACTATTGCCTAAACCGTATCAGGTGAACTTCCTTGGTGCTACGACATAAGATCAGAATCTGACCTTAATGACACTAGCCTGATTTTTCAATTTAGACAAGAGAGCAAGTTCTATAATACTGCAAGTCTTGTTGACCAAGGAGAAAATACGGCATTAGACATGTAGACACTTGTACCCAGAACTAGGAAGTTATGTTCTCGTCAAAATTCATCTAATTAAACACTCTTCTGTTAATATGCTGTTCTGAGGTAACCTGGGATTGTTGTGATACTGAACCTTGTGCCATTGGGGTTTCAAATGCTGTAATGGTTACACATGGTGGACAGTGTTTGGTGGAGAGCCCAGTTTAAGACAGGTTTAGAAGCAGAAGTGGCATCCGCTTCCTAAACAACATACCTCTGGAAACTCTATGAACTTTGAGAAATGACGATAGTTATAGAAAGGCTTTGGGCCTTTTGATCATAGGGTCCCAATGAGTCATGCTTGACTTGACAGCAATCATCAACAACAACTTAAATATCAGTTTTTAATTGATATTCAGCATTTTCTTAAACTGGAACTACACTTTGGGTAGCATTTTTAACCTCTTTTCCAATATCTCACCATATACAAGGTATTATTCTCTGATTTTCTTAAATTTCTATCCACTACAGACTCTCCCTACTAAGAAAACCCCATCTACAAAATTATTTGCTTCCTCAACTTAGTTCTTTAAACTATTTCACCTTTAACATGTTTGTAGAAATTACCTCTAAGTGGAAGGTTTGTCTCTCAGATTATAAAACAGCAGATTTCTTTCCTTGATGATCTCTGTAATTTCTTCTAAAATATTGTCCACTAGATTGATGAATTTCTGAAGAAGAGATTACCAATAGGAAGACAGGATGGTACAGACTTTAGTCTTTATTAAGTTGATGAAAATGCATAATTTCAAATTTGTTTTCAATCTTTTTGTGTTTTAAAAAAATT